ACAAAACGTGACTTTTGAGATTCAAATATACACGTGTGTATTCCTAAAAGGTTCATTGATTGGGACCCATATTTTCTTGGTATTTTTTATTAGTTATTATAATTGTACGATAATTAAAAGAAAAAGAAAAATTGAGAAAATAAAAGATTATTTTCATAATTACTATCAAACTATATATTCTGTTTTAAATGTCTCTTAATTTCGTAAAACAATTCAAAACACTTTCTGATATATAGAAAACATATCATATTATTTTGTTCATTTAAGTCCGTCTATAAATTTAACGAAAGTGCTTATATGACACGCTGTTAAAAGCCAACTAAATCATTAACAATATTAAATTCTTATTAAATGTATAAAAAAGTAAATATTTAGAAGATAACAAGAAGAAATAATTTTTTTTTTTAAAAACTCAGACATTGACTCTCTTTCTTCTCCTTCTTCTCACTGTATCGAGCAAAAAGAAAAATCCCTAAACTACTCCTTCAGCTGCCTCCCCTCTGCACCTTCTTGTTTGTATCTCGCGGGAATCGTCGCATCAAAGGTGGTGAGTCGCCAAAGGGGGTCGCAATGGTGTTTGAATTCACGTGGGGTAGGTGGGTTGGCGAGGTTCGTCACTCTCTGATTGTGAACACGGAATCTCCGGCAAGCAAACCGACGAGTTCTTCCCCTTCATCAGCGCTCTGATTCGGCTCTCCGAAGGCGACGAGGGTATATTTAGTAGTAATTCTTAGAGTCTAAAATCAATTCTCTAACCATCAAAGTTGAAATTTATGTTCGATAAAAATCATAAAAAATGATTATTAAAAAATTTTTAAAGAATTTACAGTTAAAATCAGAAACAGACCAAAAGCAGTTTTGATTTTTAAATTGTGCAACAATCACTTTAAAGTACAATTAATGAAACTTTCATAATACTCATAATAGCTATAGAATTAATACTTGTACAATTACAGTTTACTAAACACTTAATTATTTTTTGTAACAGCTGTTTTTTTTTAGCGCAGTTAACAATAATTTTTTAAAATCTACAGGACTATCAAACTGACCCAGAGTCCACAACATGATCAAGCAAAGATTCGTCTTGAGTTTGGTTCCCACAATTGGAGCGAAGAAGATTTGCGATCGGAGCTTTGTGTTGTCTTTTAAATCTCTTCTCTATTTGATACTCCTTCGTATTTGTTGTGTGGGAAAATATGAGTGACATGTGGAACGGCGACAGCGTGACACGTGGCCCTACTTACTCTCAAAAAGGTGACAACCCTCGACGCTTGAAGCTCGCTTCCCCTCTACGTTGCAAAGAAAGGCCTGACTTAGGGCATCGACCCAGCATATCGTCGACCAGTCGTACCGTCGATCTTATGGCAACGAATTCCTGGAAAGGATCGACTGCCAAGAAGGACATGAGGTCTACGTAGCGCAGACGACGAGAGGAATACTCTTCAGAAAGGAGCCTGACATCACAAGTTGCGTCTAGGGATGGAAGACGTCTGTGGTACATGCATTAATTGCAATCCCCTAAACTGCCCTACAGTGGGCAGTGAAGGATTACAGGAATCCTCAGAGCCGTAATGGAAGACCAATTGGCTGAGTGAACAGTTCAAAAGGTGATTAGTGGGCTACGGTCTATACTTAGAAAGATAGGCCACTCGAGTATTTTTACCTACAAAGGAGAACCACCCCCGAAGGAAGCTTGAGCTATAAAAGGGGCAAAGTCCTATACACGAAGGGGCATGGATTTCTTAAGTATTGAATCAGAGAGAGAATATACATGCATGTAAATTGTAAAAGTCTAAAGAGAAATACAATACAAAGTGGATGTAGCTCTTCATTAACAGAGTAAACCACTATAAATTCCGTGTGTCCTCTCATTCCAGTGTTACACTCATGCTTCCAAAAATACAACAAACACTTCATACCATGATTTCAAATATACAGTTAATCTCCAGCCGGTAACCCAACGGGATACCAGTGGGTAACCCGGCGTATTTCTGTTGACGAAATTTAGCCGTCAACAATATCTAAGATCTATGTTTACTCTCCGTTCGTCGTTGTCGTTACGACTTAGGAATCTGCAGATTGTTTCTTCACAGATCCAAACCATGGATGATATTTTCGTCAAGGGTTTCTTCATTTATGCAATAATGTGATATGGATATTTAAAACAGCAATAATTTTGTTTTCTTTTTGTTGCAAATCAAAGCACTATCAAACAAGCAAAGAAGATGAAAAATCAAAGCACCCTTGGCTTCGTTGATCAGTTTGAGAAATATTGGACATGGCTTCCCTGCTCTTTTTCTTATTTAATTTCCTCTTTATCATTTTTTTAATATTTAATTATTTATATAAATTTAGTTCGAATTTAATTGCTTCAGTTAATTGTTAATAACATTCCATGTCAGTATTTCTGTTGGAATGATAGACGGGAGTAAAAAGAAGGAGAAATTTGAATGGTTTTGTATAATTTAGGGAGTGTTTTGAACTATTTAAAAAAATTAAAGGGTATTTTAAAACATGGTATATAATTTAAGGGATAATTATGAAAATAATCTAAAAATAAAATGTGGCACACGTGAGTTGCGTGTGAAGGAGACATCTTCATGTTTAGCAATCTTACAAGCCACGCATAGTTGTGAGAGAAGTGAGAAAACCTTTGGTGTTGGTCCAACCAACCGAGAGAAAATTTTGACAGAAATTTAGATGGACAACTACTAGTGTGAGGAGGTTACTATATAGAAGATTCTTAAATATTAGAGTTGTTAGCCTTTTACTTTATAAACGACAACAACAAATGGAGAAAAATGGAACCAAAATTCCCCACCTGCTTATTTAGTGTGAATTGGTTACTTTTGGAATTGGTTACAACTTCTTACCACTTTTTGAGTCTTTTGCTTTGATTCCACATTTTAACTGATCTCTTCCAAACCACCCCCATCCTACCTTTTTTTATTAATTAATTTTCAATTTAAGTCCCTACCATGATGTAAATTAAATAATTAAGTCAATAATTAAGGTCAGTTTGACATGGTTTCTTACATGAATCGTATTTAGAGAATCAAATCTTGTTTTGTTCTGAAGAAAAATACATGCATATATATATATATGAGATTTCAAACAATCAAAAGTGGTTCTTGATTTGTAATTAGGATAATGGTGTAATTGTCAAGCATTAAACCAAAACCAGATATCCCTTTATTTATTTATGTATATAGATGTAAGTGCTTTAATTTTGCTGAGTTAGAATCCTTTTGGTTTTCTTTTCTTGTTGGCTATTATGTAGTAGATCATCGTCTTTCTTTGCATACGATCTAGTCAAGAAATTGGGTTCTTGTATTAGTATAATTGAGCACCCATATACTCCAATATGCATCATGATTGCTTTACTTAGAGGAAACAAATATTAGAACTAATTGATAGCAAGATGAAATTAACCCTTCAAGTAAAGTTTTCTAGAAGATGTCGGCACGGTATAAATATATATATATATATATATATATGTATATATGTGTGTGTGTGCGCGCGCGCCCGCGTGTTATTTAATTTGGTTGGTCACTAAATACTACTTTGACAAACTTTGCTAATTCCTTCATTGAAAAGTGTACATAATGTGTTCAAATTTTCTATTCAATAATCTGATATAAAGCCACAATGTTCAAGCATTCTATAAATTTGGGCACAAAATTTGACTTTGCTTGAAGTGGGAGAAAGGGAAGCACATCATTTATGTAATTTGACTAGTTAGATTTTCGGTTGTGAAGTGTGAAAAGCATAACCAAATTGGTTATAAGCATATGGAGATTGACCAAGAATGAGAAATATATGGGAGATGGTCGAGGGGTAGAAATGTCAAAGCAGAGAAGTCATCTGTATCTATCAAAATATATCCATGAAAGAGCATGAGTTGTGGTAAATTGACCCGCCAACATTTATAATCCTAATTCCTAAAAAAAATAGCAAAAAAAAAAAAAAAAATCCTAAACAAAAGAATTTTTACTATTTTTGACTCTGACAAAGAGAAAAAAAAAAAAAAAAAAAAAAAAAAAAAAAAAAAAAAAAAAAAAAATTTTTTTTTTTTTTGAGAAATCATATATTTTCTTAGGCAGACAAGGTGGGTGGATTTCTAATGTTGAACATGTTCATACTCGTAGACTAATCACGTGTTCTTATTCTTATTTACTTTCTTAAGAAATAAACATTGAATTTAACTTGAATAAACAAATCATCCTTCAAACAAAAAAATCACGTTTTATGGGATTAGGACATGATATACGTGTATTTTCATTTAAAAATTAAATGAATTAACAAAACACTGACAACCTCAATTAGCATGAATCTATTTCATGCGAGTAATATTCTACTCGACTTCAATAAAGGTTGAGTGACGAAATTACAATGACAACTTGTACTTTCCTCACGCAAAAAACTACCAATACATTCCACTTTTCAACTTCAATACCAAAACTGAAAAAAAAAAAAAAAAAATGATACTAAAATTCAACCATATTGGTGGTTCAACCCCCCCCATACATAACACGAATGTTTTTTTTTTTTTTTTTTTTTGTCAAACTCACACACAAAACAAAAACTCGTCCAAAACAGAGAATCTAGTTTGGATTATCCATCAAAGCTACCGTATCCCCGAACCCCCCCAAACATCTTTCCTCACTTTGTACCAAACAAAACCAGATATATGTATCTCCCATTCCTATTCACATTCACATGTCACACATACAAACAAAGATGAGCTCTACTTTAATCCTTAACACGTGCCCACGTGCCCTTTTGCCAAGCCAATCGAACCAGGTGGAAGTTGCCGTCAACTCCATCCAAATTTGGACACGTTGTGGACTCACGTTAAAGGAATTGTCAAACCTTCTCTCTCTCTCTCTCTCTACCCAAAGAAACACACCTAACCGACCAATCAAAACTAACCTTTTAAAACTCCCCGACACATATATAAACCCTGTTTTGCCCAACTATGGTAGTAAAGCTCTCAGCTTTTTGCAATTTTTTTTTTTCTTCTTTCTTTGTATATAGCTCATCACTCCACAATGGACTGGAACAGAGGCCAGATCATCGGCAGGGGCTCGTCGGCCACCGTCTCCGTCGCCACGTCATCAATCTCCGGCGAGATCTTCGCCGTCAAATCTGCCGAGCTTTCGCAATCCGAGGCCTTACAGAGGGAGCAAAAGATCCTCTCCTCGCTAAACAGTCCTCACGTGGTGAGCTACATTGGCCACGACGTCACCAGAGAGAACTCCCACCTCGTCTACAACCTCCTCATTGAGTACGTCCCCGGTGGCACGCTAAACGATGCCTTGCGCCGCAAGAAACGCCCCGACGAGGCGGCGATCGGGCGGTACACGAGAAAAATCGTCCAGGGACTGGAGTACCTGCACTCTCTAGGACTGGTACATTGTGACATAAAAGGCGCCAACATCTTGATGGCCGAAACGGGCCCAAAGATAGCGGATTTCGGGTGCGCCAGGTGGGCTAATTCTGGCGATGAGGAGCGGCCGATAAGCGGCACGCCGACGTTCATGGCTCCGGAGGCGGCGCGTGGGGAGCACCAGGGGTGTGCCGGCGATGTTTGGTCATTAGGGTGCACAATTATCGAAATGGCGAGTGGGAATTCGCCGTGGTCTAATTCGGGCGACCCGGTTAGCGTTCTTTATCGGGTCGCTTATTCCGGCGAGACGCCGGAGTTTCCGAGCTTTCTTTCGGAGAAAGCTGAGGATTTCTTGGGGAAGTGTTTGAGGAGGAATCCGGAGGAGCGGTGGACGGCTAGTCAGCTTTTGAAGCATCCCTTTCTTGAGGAATTAAGTTTAACAGAAGTTAAGGAATCCGATTCCTCGTGTTCTCCGACAAGCATTCTCGATCAAGGAATTTGGAATTGTCTCGAAGATCATACGTCGGAGAGTTTTGGTGGTACGAGAAGTGGGAATTGGGCCGTTGATAGGATCGGAAAGCTGGCTCTGTTTTCAGGGGAGGTGACGTGGACTAGTGGGGACCAGAGTTGGGTCACGATTAGAAGTGATAATGATGAACAAAACAATAGTTCAATTATGGATTATGGAATGGATTTAACTTCTTCTAGTTCTTGTAGTAGCGAAAGCGATATTTTCGGTGATGAAAATATCATAGATATTAATATTGTTGGGTTTTCACAGTGTCGGGAAAAAAGTGTAGTAGCTTTTAGAAATCTCATTTTTGAGAGGGACAGAGACGATTTGTTAGTAATTCCCCTCACTTCAACATTTTTGAAATCATAAGATTTTATTCAATACAGTTTTTTTTTTTTAATTATTATTATTATTTTATTTTTTTGCCCTTCATCAATTTTGAGCTTCTATGAATTATGGGTCAATCCGGGAGTTTTCCTAATCTAATCTTTAAGCTTTTTTTTTTTTTTTTGAAAAAAAAATGCTTTAACGTCGTGCAATTTGTTTCTATTGTGTGGAAGGTATATTTGAGAAACTTCCCATAACTCACAAGAGTGCCAAAATGGACAATCTTTTAATTAAAAGTCCTGCAATTACTTTCTCTTTGTTTCCTCCTTTTTTTTTTTTGGTAGTTTTTGGTGTAGTAATTCAGATAGTCCAAGTGGGTGAAATTCACCTAGTAACAATTACCTAACGGCTCCTTTACCAACAATTACCTAAGTTGGGCAAAGTTCCTTTAATGCAAGCGACTATTAAAAATATCTCAGATATAAATGAGAGAAAAAAGAAAAAGGAAAAACAAAAACGCTATAAAAGTAAACAAAGTACTCGCTGAGTTGGTCAAGTTGGAAGCTCTTAAGTCGCTATACTTAGCCAACTGTCAATCAGATAGACACTAACCCAGCACCTACTTTGATCGTCGGAATAAAGACTCTCATTTATTTTTCTTTTCATTTACCAAAGAAAAAATGCTATTAACTACCCACACTACAACAATAAAGGCTATTTGCGATAATATTTTTTGCGATGACATTTATCATCATAAATAATACAATATTTGTGACGACATATCGTCGCAATTATTTTTTATTAAATAAAATAATAATGTCGTCTCTAATAACTTAAATGTAGTCACAAATAATTTTAGATCACAAATTTTAATGGCGCGGATTTTTACCGCCAAGGTAATCCATTTTTTGCGACGACAAGTCGTCGTAAATAATAAGATATTTGCGACGATAATTGTCGTCGCAAATAATTTCATGCTATTTGCGACGACATTTTCTCTCTTGTCGTCGCAAATAATCTTTTTAAGATTTCACCAAAAACTAAACACGGAAAAAATGATTATTTACAATGACATTTTAAATTTATTTGCGACGACAATGTCGTCGCAAATAAGTCTGATCTAATATACCCTATATTCTTTCTCTTCATTTTCCCCCGACGCTTTCTCTCTCTCTCCTGCTAAGTCTGTCTCTCTACCTCTTCTTCCCCTTGCCGCCGCCCCCACCCATCGCCACCGGCCCTCTTCTCTCTTTCTTCCCTTCTCTCTTCTTCCCTTTTCCGGCCGCCGTTGCCGCTCCCGCCGCCCCGCCCCCGCCACTCCTCTCTCCTCTTCTCTCTCTCTCTCCTCTTCTCTCCCTAACACACTCCGGTAACTTTTTTATTGTTTTTATGTGTTTTGTTGAGTTGTTTGTAAAGTGTTTGTAAAAATGTCTAAATGAAGTTTCTAAACATTTACTATGAGGCTGTGTAAATGTTAGTTTATGACGTTAATTTAGAATTATTTTTGAACTAGTGGTTAATTTATTAATTTACATTATTTGTTAACATAATTAGGTTTAATGCCGAGGAATGAAATTTTTTTGTGTATTTAAATATGTTACTCTAGATGTTAATAAAATGTTAATTTC